CCTTATCTTCCTCATTATTGTCAGGTGCATAATTCCATATCGTCACCGCCGGTATAAGACTACTTTCAATAGCCCGCATACCATCATTCAAAGCCATGTCAGTAGCCGCTGACCGAAAGAAAAGTACATACCACTCCTTTCCCAACTCTCAGCTCCTACCGTAGCTGCCACACCAATGCACACCAGATTCTCCCAACATAGTAGGTCCAACCGGATCACCACTATGAGCCACTCTCGCTAACGACTCCTTATGGACTCGTTCAGCGACGTCTGGACCCACCACCAGCTACCAAACAAACACCACGTCACACTGAAAGCACATCCAATGGACCTACATGCATTCCTTCTTCCGACACCCTCATCGCAGCCCACGTACGGTATATACAAAATTGGAAAGTAAGTCCATCGTACCTGACCACTGACCACTCTCCTCAACACTATCAACCATCAACCTCACCAGTGTGGCGCCCACACCACGCGTGTCTCCGACGGCGCGTCCTCGAAAGACGCCACGTGCAGCCTTGGCTTCTCCATGTCGAGCGCCGGGCCTTGAAAATAGGAAACTCTCAGCAAACACGCAATAACGTCGCCCACCCATGAAAATAATAGCGTCTGGCATTTTCGTTCGCACCGCTTCAGTCACTCCCTTCCAAAAAGGCCGCATGTACCGAGCTAAAGAGATATAAAAGTTCACACCCGCTCAGCACGCAAGTTGCCACCTTGAAAATCCTCCTTAGTCTTAAAGTCAAAATACCCCTTCTTCAACAGGCGCATCTTCCCCTCACAATCGTAATCCCAAATTCCATTGTCATACCACGGATCGCTATAGCCCGGCAGGAACGCCCTAACATGCTCCTTATTCAGCGTCTGCATACAACAAACGATCAACTTCACCACGGTATCGAATCACACTACATAATGCCCGAGATATTTATACGCTTCTCCATATTTAGCAACAGTGATAGAATTCCCATTGGCCAGCTGCATGCTTTCCCACGGGCTCGCGAGATAGCCGAGCGGCTGAGACGAGTCGTACCTAATCAGAAACCTCCCTACTCCTACACCTGAGCATTTCCGTCCTACTTATCAAGGCCAAGATCCCGACCGATCCACCCCATGTTAGGTTCATTCATTGTCTCAAAGCCCAGTACGTTTGCCTCGTCTTTGAGTGCCTCCGCTAAGCGCTCACAGCACCGTAGTAATGACGACGAAGATACTCACCAGCATTCTCATCACCTGTAACACATCAACCTATTCCGTATCTTCCTCGCTCAACCTCAAGATACTCACCAATCTTAGTATTAGGCGCATAGTCTTCACCAGCAAAGAAAATCGCCCA